TGGCGATGACCAGGAAAAATCTACGCCTTACAGTAGGATTTCTGACTGGCCACTGTCAGCTAAGGAAACACCTACATAATATGGGGCTAGTGGACACACCTCTATGCAGGATGTGTGAACAGGAAGATGAGACTGTCAGGCATGTCCTGTGCGAGTGCCCGGAGTTATCGTCAATAAGAGAGTGTGTGTTCGGCGAGTCTTGGCCTACACCTGCCGATATAAAGGAGATGTCTTCCAGCGACCTGTCCACCTTCCTTGAAAGGACAGGATGGACGATGACCTAGGAGGACAACTCCTCGGGAGGATGTACAATGGGTCACATGTGGCCTAAGTGCGTGGGCTTACACTCACCCTCCCTACTCTACAGACACAGATAATATAATTAAACGCCTAAAATTTCAGGTTGTATTTGAAAGGGATTAATTATGAAGATGAACAACTCCTTTCAAAACGCACCAATAAGTTATAAAGAATAAGACATGCTGCATGAGCGGTGTGAGCTTAGTGCACTTGCAGTGACTGATAAATCTTTGGTTGGCATTTAAAATGATATACATATAAAACGCGATAACACGTTTTTCACAGTAAAGATTGAAGGCTACGAGCATAAAAAACTATCCCAGAAAGCTAATTAACACTAGGATTCTGGCTCTTGAATATAAGCAATGTTTTTTGGTGTCCAACCTGCATCAGTAGATTAAACAGAATTATTCACACCAAATAAATGCTAAGAATAACATTAACAGTGATAATTTTTCTAATGAGCATTTTTACAAATAATATTCACTACTCTCCATTCCACTCACTATTCCTTTCTAAATATTCCGTAGATTGAGATGGAATGAAAAGTATCAACTGTAAGAGAAATCAGTTATCTTAGAAACACAGAAAATAACGTAGCTATATTACTGTTGCATGGTTATATGGCCTTTTTGACATTCCTGAACATCTGAATATGTATTTCTTGATCATTATGAAAATCTCATATCCGAGAATAGTTCATACAATTTAATATAATGATTTTATTTCTCGTTTGCAGGTTTACCAACAATATTTCACTTATTTGCTCACAACATACCTTTAGAAGAGAGGTCTAGAGCATTTTCCTATCTCTTAGCATCTGGATCTGTAGGACAAACTGTTGCTTCAGTGTTGTGCCCACATCTCTCTTGGGAAGCATGCTTCTATTGGTTCGGTTCGTTTGGCTTCCTTTGGGTACTTTTATGGTACTGTTTCTACCCCGAAGATGTTTACAGTAGCGAAGAAACATTACCTTTGCAGATGCCTAAAGTCATAACACATTCAATAAGATGGGCAGATTTCATATTCAGTAAACCACTGTGGGCAATATATGTCGCACATTTTGCTATGAACTGGTCATCTTATATCATTATGCAATGGCTACCTACATACTTATCACGTTACTTGGGAGGAAATTCTCATAGTTTGAGTTTAACGGCAGTGCCATACATTGTGAATTCTATTTTTGGTGTAATAAGCGGACATGTAGCTGACGGTCTGCTTGGAAGTAAAAATTGGTCTGTTTTGAATGTTAGAAGATTGATGACAAGTATAGGTCTAGTAGGGCCTGCTTTATTTCTGGCAATATTTTGTGTGGTTGACCATTTGGCATTTGCCCTTATTCTCGTTAGTATATCTATGGGCTTGTCTGCAAGTAACTCTGCTGGGCATTTGAGTAACCATGTAGATATAGCTCCAAATTATGCAGGTACCACGTTTGCTATAAGTAATACTATTGCAACGGTTCCGGGAATTTTATGTGGCCCAGTCACAGCTAGTTTAGTAACTTATTCTAATGGAAAATGGCTGTCTGTATTTCTTGGTGCTACATTCATTAACTTAACGGGAGCTTTTGTATATTTTACAAATAGTGTTGCAACACAAGTTCTATAAAGTATAAAGTTGTCAGAAAATCGAAGGAGTTCATGATTGAAAATTGTACAGAAATTTTTGTTTTGTACCACAAAATATTTTATTGACTAAAATTCAAAGACATTATTAAATCTTTGACAGTGCACCAACCTGACAACGTGAACTCTGAAGAAATGATGTATTTGATAGGGCACAGTTTGACTGTCATTTACCCCTATCAACCCTATAACATACGACGTTGAAGTAGGTCCATGGTATACTACACATATGGTGTATTGGATGACTAATATCTGGTCTCTTGAGAATGTATAAATACTGTATATTTATGTAGAGTTGAAAAATAAAAGTCTCGTTCTTAAAACTACAAAAAAGCAGTTGTATATAAAGTATGAATTGAAAAATTATAGTAATCAACACAATAAACAAGTCAGTACATTAAAAGAGGCTGACTCCTCACTGGATACAAAGAAGAATATTGTATTAAAATTTACTAAAAATTGTTATTTTTTTTAAAATTATGGATTACCGGTAAAAGCCATGTGGTTGAAGAACAAGAGAGAGACAAAAAACAATTGACAATGATAGCTGTTACGTGATTCAGTTTGAAAAAGTGTGTTAGTTTGTCGATGATAAAACTATGGAACGAAAGAGAACTATTATGGTGCAAGTGTGATCAGAGACATCTGCTGTTCATAAGTAACTAAATGAGAAAACCCAAATATCAAATATGTTAATTAACTGACAACACCCTCATTAGTCTTGAGGAAAACAAGTGAAGAGGTGTTGTTAAATGAAAGTAAAACCCTGCCATAGGGAGGTTGAAAATTTGTTCAAGTGTAGAAGTGCCCTTCTACACTTGTATAAAGTTCTCCATTATAATTTTTATATTTTTTCAGATTGTGGAAGGTAACAATTACCCAAAAAAGGTTGATAAAAAACTGATTTTTTCCTCCACAAAAAATGACTTTCGTTGAATAAAATATTTAAAATGTTATGAATTATATTATTGAAAAACCAGAATTATTATTGGTTTGGAAATCATGTAAATTTTTGTCAATGTATAATAAGAAGGTATAGATTTCACTAAGGTGATCAATGTCTGATCTTTTATTAGGGCAATTATTTGATTGTAATATAAATGACATTTTCAAAAACAATTTTCTAGATGTATTTATTTCAGTTGATAAAATTTTTGTTGAATCATAGTCCATTTTATGACCCTCTTTGGAGACATGATTACTGAGAGCACATCTCTCAGGATGTAATCTACTATCACTTTTATGTGAACTGATACTATCTTTGAGTAATCCTGACGTTTGACCAATATATTCCTTACCACAATTTGAACATGGAATGGAATAGATTAATTGAGATTGAAAGTTAATAGGAGTTTTATCTTTGAGTTTCGAAAATAATTTAGGTATTATGATGGTTACTATGGTTCTGAAAGCTATTTTAACATTTAAATCTTTGAAAATTCTGCATAACTTAGGTGTCTTATCACTTATGTATGGTAAAGAAAAGAAAAGTATAGGAACTGGAAGTGGATAAGTCCCAGTTGTGACATCGTCAGACTGTAAAGGATTTATATTCAACTGGTTATTGTTGATTTGTACGTCAATGGTTGACGTACTAAATACGATATTCTTAAGTAAAGGATCTGGGTATGAGTTATTAATGAATAATTGGAAAAGTATATTTGAATTTTTGTTATGAAAAGAATGATCGGAAATCTGCAGAAAGCGGTTCTTCATTTGCTTGACCAAATTAATTTTCGTTGACTGCTTATGGTTTCAAAGATTTAAATGTTAAAATAGCTTTCAGAACCATAGTAACCATCATAATACCTAAATTATTTTCGAAACTCAAAGATAAAACTCCTATTAACTTTCAATCTCAATTAATCTATTCCATTCCATGTTCAAATTGTGGTAAGGAATATATTGGTCAAACGTCAGGATTACTCAAAGACAGTATCAGTTCACATAAAAGTGATAGTAGATTACATCCTGAGAGATGTGCTCTTAGTAATCATGTTTCCAAAGAAGGTCATAAAATGGACTATAATTCAACAAAAATGTTATCAATTGAAAGAAATACATCTGAAATATTGTTTTTGGAAATGTCATTTATATTACAATCAAATAATTGCCTTAATAAAAGATCAGACATTGATCACCTCATTGAAATCTATACCTTCCTATTAGACATTGACAAAAATTTGCATGATTTCCAAACCAATAATAATTCTGGTTTTTCATTAATATAATTCATAAAATTTCGGTATTAGATGATGCCGTAGTATCATTAGGCGGCCGTCCTCTTAAAGAGTATGGATTACCTCAGCCAATAAAAAGTTTTCGTCTTGGCTTGGCGAAAACACTTTTTAAGAAGGAGTTGAATAACTTAGAAATTGGAAAATGACAAATTACTTTATTCAGTGTTGTACAAAGAATAAGTAAAGAGTGACGAGAGGCATCATTACAAACAGTTTTATACAAATGCTTATCAAAATGGGGCTGATACAGCATCCGTCCAGGAAGTCGTTGTGGTGGGCGTTTCTAGAGGACATTGAGGTCACACGCGTTCCATAACTAACATCAATACATTTTGAAAATAGAGAGTACATGAAGGAGACCAGTTACGATACAGTGGCCTTGGAAGACGCAGTAAGAAAAAATGAAGCATCTTTGAATGACGAGCAACAGGAAGTTTACAATAAAATTATCACAAGTGTACATGCAAACGACGGTCGAATATTCTTCTTAGACGCTCCAGGTGGAACTGGTAAAACCTTACATTACTCACATTACTCAAAGGTGGTCGAACTGCTCATGTTACTTTTAAGTTACCACACAATTTATTCACTGCCGAGACTCCCATTTGCAATATCTCCAAACAAAGTAATTTTGCTGAAGTTTTAAAGAGTGGTTATGTGAGCGTGCCACACTTACTCCAAAAAACGATCAAGCAGCAGCTATCAACGATATCCTGCTCATGTCGTTTGAGGTCGAAGAAAAGTTATATACTTCGATTGATACTGTGGTTAATACAGATGACGCTACTAATTACCCTGTAGAATTTTTAAATTCATTGAAACCGCCAGGTTTGCCTTGTATAAGCTTATTCTGCGTGTGGGCACTCCAATTATGTTGTTGCGAAATTTAGAACCATCAAAACTTTGTAACGGTACGAGACTGCAAGTAAAAGCGTTACATCGCAATATAGTGGAAGCCATTCTATTAACTGGGTGTGCAAAAGGGGAAACTGTATTTATACC